CACATAGACGTACACATAGACACACACACATAGACACACACATAGACACACGCATGGTGTTCCTGGTCATCGAGATTGTCCACTATGCCGTGACCAAGAAGGTAAATACACACTCATAGACACACATATAGACACACATACACACACATAAACACACATAAACAAACAAACAAACACACACACACACACACACACACACACACACACACACATAAACATCTAATCAATATTTAATACAATGTATACTGCTTTCTTAGTAAACCGCTAAGTTTGATCATGACATGATTTTTGTAACTCCTTGTTATCAGTAATATCGCTGGAGAAAGTTAAAATACTTCCAACTGTCCAAAACAATGCTGCACGTTTAGTTTTACAGAAAAGAAAGCGAAATTCTGCTACGCCTCATTACAATGTAATTTATAGACACTGCATTGGCTTCCTGTTGAGAAGAGAATTATAATGTACAAATTGGCCACTTTATGTCACAAGTACTTGCATGATAATGCGCCATCATATTTATCGAATCTGTTGAAACTGTCCATAAATGTATATTCCAACTCGCAGTTAAAAGGCATCGACTGACCAAAAAAAATTCTGTTACCATCTATGAAACTTTCAACAGTGGGTGAAAGGGCATCATCATCATCATCATCATCATCATCATCATCATCATCATCATTATCATCATCATCATCATCATCATCATCATCATCATCATCATCATCATCATCAGTATAATCATTTCCCCCTATCATCATCATCATCATCATCATCATAATCAGTATAATCATTTCCCCCTCCAACCCTCCACACTTTCAGGGCAAGAAGATCCACCGACCCGCCCTGCTGAAGAACCCACCCAAGATCTTCAAGCCCAAATCCGCCAAGGCCGCCAAAGAGGTGCCCACCTCCGATATCGAGGCTAGTGACGAGGCCGGCCCATCCTCTGACGGACTGGAGAGCGTGCCCCTAGACGACACCCTCTCTGCCGAGGCCACCGCCGAGGAGGCAGTCGAGGGCGAGAGCGGCCAGAAGGCCGAGGTTTAAGGCCCGAGCCACTCTAGGATTTTCCAATAGCTATTACCTACTTGCCATGTCGTCGCGGATTGACCCAGTTTTAGAAGGGCGCATACAGAATGCGCCCACGTTGGGGACATATCTAGAAACTTCTATCATTTAGTCGTTGGGAGAGCAGGCCAGAGTTTATTATCTGTGATGATGACGTCACTTTGCTTAGAGAAAGAAACAGAGAGATATATATATATTTATAGAAAGAGAGAGAGAGAGAAGAATCGGATAGATAGAGAGAGAAAATAAAAAGAATTGTGAAAGAAGTAAGGGTGAGTGAAGACCTAGCTCACTGAAGGCTGGCCCTGGTCGCAGACCTATGCCAGTACATAATGGTCCGTACAAAATAGTACATAACATTCAGTACATAGCGACCAGTACATAAGAGCTAGTACATAACATTCAGTACATAGCGACCAGTACATAAGAGCTAGTACATAACATTCAGTACATAACGGTCAGTACATAATAGTACATAACGACCAGTTCATAACGGCGAGCTTCCATTCCGTAGACGCCTCGATGTGATCACCAAGAACGCCTGTCTACACACTCCAACCGGTTCCATATAACTATAAGCATAATATCCAGTTCAACCTCCCGTTACCTCAACCGTTCACAAAACCACCGAGACAGTTTTGAAACACCACATCATGGCAGAAACAGTTAAGTAACATCAGAACTCTAAGCAAAATTTATATCACAGCCCTCAGAAACATTTTGACCACCAGAGTTGAGTACCAAGTATCAAGTACCAAGTATCAAGTACCAAGTATCAAGTATCATACCTCGCCACTCAGGTTAAGTAAGTAGCCTAACATTCGGGCACAGAACACAGTGATATCCACAAATTTTAATCTTTCCCCCACCGCCACCCTCGAAGCTAACGAACGAACAAACGAACGAACGAACGAAAGAAATAAAGAACAAAAGAACATAAACGTCTGTTTGGAGCGATATTTGACAGAGGTACAAAAAAGCCCCTGGAATTAGGAGATCATGTCTCGGCGGTGGTGGGGGTGGTGGTGGTGGTGGTGGTGGTGGGGGTGGTGATGGTAGTGAAGTTGTTTTTTTTCTTCCAGCAGACTGTAGACCTGGTCTTGCTTTCTCCTCCATTCTGGCAAAGTTTGAGGAAAGCGTTTATCATTCTCATCACAATGCAATATGTATAACAGACTACATTAATTTTTGTTTTTGTTTCGTTCCTCGATCGTTTCGTTGTGGGTTTTTTTTTCTTTGTACATAAAAATACGTCATACTACTGTTGTTACTTTTATTACAATAATTCTTCTTCCTCTCAGATCTTCCTCTAGCCAAGGTGTTCGTTGTCAGTGGAAAGCTTAGGGTGAAAGGCATCAGTTGTGTGTGTGTGTGTGTGTGTTGTGTGTGTGTGTCACGGAATGACCTTAGAGTTTCTGGGTTTTTTTCCAAGAAAACCTTTGCGTGTGCGCCGGTGTGCAACAGATGTGTGAGCTTGTGTCGTTATTTTTCTGTTTTTGTTCTTGTTTTTCGTTCCCTCAACAGTTCGGCCACTGTCCAAGCCACTTGCAATTTCGGACCTCTTTCTGGACATTTTTGTGTTTTTCTCGGTGTTTTTTTTTCTCACTAACTCATTCCACGAAGACTTTTAATTCGCATCAGTCTTTTATTTCGTTTCGTATGTTCTATTTTCTTTATTTCGTTCCGTTATAATTTTGAATGCAAGTGCAAGTTTTTGACATGAATATTGCTGACCTCTAGTGCTGAGTATTTTTCCGCTTCTTTCGAGAGGGCAAAAAAGTGGTTGTTGTTTCTGATGAAAAGTGTTTGATTGTGTTTCGTGTGTGTAAGTGTGTGTATATATGCATGTGTGTGTGAGTCTCTGTGTGTGTGTGTGTGTGTATGTGTGAGTGTGTGTGTGTGTGTGTGTGTGTGTGTGTGTGTGTGTGTGTGTGTGTGTGGAGGCGTAATCTAGACAACAAATGCCACTTTCTTACGTCTGAGCAACTGGTGGAGTGTATTGTGAGAGAAAATCTCCCAATCAATCGTGTTCTCCTGTGTCGGTCGTTACCACTGAGCTCAGCGCCTGTGTGCTGCATGCTGCATGCTAGTGCTGGGACGGGCGGGCCACTTTGGTCAATCTTCCTCCAAAACATGTTTCTATGGCAACGGAACCCAGAGCACTCAATGTATCTGGCATAACAGCTTACATATTATATGTTATTTATCATATACTATATTTCACATACGATATATATATAAATATATATTTTATATATATATATATATATATATATATATATATATATATGTATAAACTCTTACCGTTATGTTAGGATAGAAGTGGCATCCCATCTGTCAAAGGAAAATGTGAAGTCCTCAACTCTGTGAAAACTTCGCTAGCCATGATCTGGTCAGGCACTGGCTATTTTCTGGCCATGTTCTGGCCGTGTTCAGGTTATTTTCTACCATTAAAAAAAACCCAACAAATCTTTGATTTGATTGGACATAAAACGTTGATCAGCCTTTCATCATCAGTGACATCAGCACAGAAATATTGCAACTGCTGAGACAGAATATTATTATAATTTGTTTTCAGAAGTTGACTTTCTGTTTGTCTGTCTGTCTGTCTGTCTGTCTGTCTGGGTTGTTGGGTTTTTTTTTGGTGAGGTTTTTTAAAATTTCAGTAGATACGCCGAATCATACACCCCCCCCCCCCTTTCTCACCCTCTCCCTCGGACGCCCTAAGCTGGAGTGAATGTGCCTTATATTTAGCCTACGTCTCTTTCCTGTAACAATGGTCATACCTGCTAACACAGAAATACTCGTCGGTTTATTTATAATTGTTTACACACGTGTTGATTCTACGTAGCCTTAACGGTCTGTGGTAGACTGGTCTATCTAGCGGTCATTCTTGAGTTTTGTATTTTTCTAGATTGCACGAGATGACTCATCTTTCGTTATTTTCTTCTTAAAGTGCCTTATATATGAGAATAAATCTTCGGTCTTTTTTCAACCTTTGCGTGTGTGGCGTCATTATTTCTTCTTTGTTGTATGGATTGATTTCACAACGGACGAACAATAATAGATAGCATTTTAGATAGCATTTGCATGGCGCACATCCCCGCTCAACAGCAAGCTCCGTGCGCTTTATAATCTATATTATGACCCCAGTAGACATGATGGCATTCTGAAACTATCTCAACTTCCTGTGAAGCATACAGTGCAAGCTGCCATTTATGGCCGCTAAAACACTAGCATACTCTCAAAATCTTTCACTGTCGTTGGCAAGGCACCCAATCCCAACAGGGTGAAGTGAGGAATATTCGTGTAAAGTGCCTTTTCCAAGCACACAACTTTGAAAATGAGGCTCGAACCCTCGAACTCGCAACCTCACGATCACATCATCAAAAGCAAGGCAAATGAACTGGCTTTAAGATGATACCAGTAACTCCAAATCTCCCAAAGTTGGCCAGCTTCTGATTCCACCGTGTGGTGACACATATCAAAGACATCAGAACCAAAACAAATGTGGAAGTGGATTGGACACTCTTTCAAACTTTGTGAAAAGCGAAGACAAAATTAAATATTACCCGCCAAACCTTAAGATGGAATCCACAAATGGGAAGGGGTGGTATAGGTTTAACGCCCATATCAACACTAATAAGTTATTTAAGGACGGGGAAAAATGGCGAAATGGAATAGGCTTATCGCCCCCTCCAACACTAATAAGATAAGTCATTTAAGAGAAAGTAAAAAACATGGAGAAATGGAATAGGTTTAACGCCTCTAACAACACAAATAATAAGTTATTTAAGAGGCGGGACTTTAACGTTCATCTCCGAAAGAACCGAGCCAAGTGACAACTTCATGAAAAATGCCCTTCTCAGGGACACAACGTCGAACCGAGCTGAGTCCCTCACGATTACGGGTCCCGCAGCGTAACCACCACGCTTCCTTGGAATTACAAAGTTCTATCGGCCATTTTAGCCGCTTTGAGTTACTAAAAGACCATGAGATCAAAAACTAAATGTTCTGTCTGTTCTATCAAGATCGTTAGAGTTAGATTATTCAGAGTCGTTATCCAGATATTCAAAGAATTGCATTCGAAAAAGCTTGAAATGTTTTGAACTGCAAGATCTGTGACTTCAATTTCCCCAAACTAGATCTAGGTACTGAGTAGACAGAAGTTTGTAACTCTGAGGTAGTGACTAGGCCACGGACGCCACCCACAAGGACAGAAAAAGAAGGGAAGGGTTAAACGTACCTGGAGAAGAGACTTAGGGTATGTCCACACCAATAGTAGAGGTGGGCAAAATCCGGTGTGAATATCCGGATAATCGGATAATCCTCAATAAAACAATATCCGAATTCAGATTCTTAACTCTCTTTCCTGACCAGTTTGCCAAAATTGGGTGCACCTATTTGTTGTAGTCATGTTAACCCGTTTGTCGAAGTGGTTCTAATCCATTTGCCGAAGCGGTTCACAAAATATTATTTACCCGAAGAGGTCACTGGCATTTTATTATGATTTTGTTAAAGCGACACATTGCCCAGCCCTAACCAAAAGCAGTAGCTGAGCCGAGCCGAAGCAGTTCTAGCAGTAGGTTTGAGTGTCCGCACCAACAGCTGTTTTGGCTAGCTGTCCTGTAGCAGTCAGCTCGCTGGCTGCTCGTGCACTGCCCAGTATCAGCTTGCATGTTCTCACTAAGAGCAGTATAAAAGCAGTGTGTACTTGTTCTCTCACTCTCCCCCCTCTCTGTCTCTCTCTGTCTCTCTCTCTCTCTCTCTGTCTCTCTCTCTCTCTCTCTCTCACACACACACACACACACACACACACACACACACACACACACACACACACACACACAAACACTTTCTCTCATTCTCTCTCCCTCTCCCGCCTCTCTGTCTCTCTCTGTCTCTCTCTGTCTGTCTCTCTCTCTCTCTCCCTCTCTCTCTCTCTCTCTCTCTCTCTCTCTCTCTCTCTCTGCAAGCTCGCTGCTTGTATCGGGGACAATTCATAACGATAACAAGGTGGTCCGTAAAATATTTTTGATGCATTTAAATTTGATAGACACTTCATCACTATTGGCACAGTCTCTTGTGTTTGATGGCGAGAAAAAATACTGGATTCATCCCATTGATGCCAAAGAGACATGCGGAGAATGTCCTCACCTGTTTCTTGACTTAAAAAGAGACGAAGAGTGCTTGAAGCCATATTTTAAAATGAGCCCAGACACATTCTCTACCATTTTGGCACTACCCATTGTTGAGTTGTACAGGCTTTCAAGAGGAGAATGTAGAAGCTGTCTCCCGCTGTCTTGAGCTGATCGAGATATCTTAACGAGGTTTGGAGGGATATTTCGGGTATGCTAATTTTAGAAATGACGAAATCACTTCTAGCATAGAGCGGTAGTAAATGCGGGGATATATTATTTTACTGTTCACTGCTAGCCGTGCACTGCTCAATACGGCGCGGCTACTGCTTTTGGTGCTAACGATGTATAATTAATACCCAGCCCAAATAATACTAGCTGGGCCCCCTTTCGATGAAAAGAATGATCGGTGCTTTAGTATTAACTAAAAGTCATTGGCCTACTATACTAAAATTTACACTCTACTGGAATGGGGCAATAAATCTTGAGAGATGCAAAACATTAGAAGATCTAGATCTATTTCAATAGCAAAATTTGGCCACCACAATAAATAGATAATAGACGCAAATAAATAATCTATTATCTATTTGTGGTGGCCCAATTTTGATATTCAAAAGGCTTTTTAATGGCTGCATCGATCGACATGCGGTTTTCTCCAAAAGATTCTTTAAAATATTCTCCAGAGCATGACGCCCTTGATTTTTTTCAGTTTTGAGACAGTTTTGCTGCAAAAAGCTAAATTTCTTTATTTCGCCGATCGCTTTTGTAGGCCGACGCTTCTGTCTCTTTAATTTTAGAAAATCCGGAAGTGATATTTTGCGAAGGCGCATTTTGTTTGAGAGTATAGATCTAGATCTTTTTCCATAATTTTTTGCATCTCTCAAGATTTATTGCCCCATTCCAGTAGAGTGTAAATATAGTAGGCCAATGACTTTTAGTTGATGTTAAAGCACCGATCATTCCTTTCATCGAAAGGGGCCCCAGCTAATAGATTACTAAGATTCAACACGGCTCAGCTACTGCGCAGCTACCTCAGCTCAACTGCGTTTGGTGCGTACGACCACTTAGAACTTTGACTCCGACGGAAAGAGGCAGGATAAATGAGGACAGAGGTGGAGACAGTAGTAGCTCAGGGCAGAAGTACATGGAGAGTGGAGAGTTCTTCTTGGTAACCACTGGTACGGGGGGGAAAAAGGGCTGGGGTGTTGTTGTTTG